AATAGTAAGAAATAATTTGAGAACCTTTAGATGCATGTCAACCCAAATCAAGCATGTAATAAGCCATAGGAAGCTAACCTTAAGTAGAGCTTTGCCCACCCTCTTGTAGAAAATACCTAAGTCCAAAATGTATATGAATAAAAGTTGTGTGTAATACAAAAATAAAACAAAATAAAAAAATCTCAAAATTTTTTTTATTTCAAACCACCTCCTCACACTAACTCAATTTTGTTTTTTTTTTCTTTTTACATTAATCATATTATATAGTTCTACATAAATGTATTTGCTTTAAGATATCTTTCTCCTAAGAAGTCTTCATGGATCCCATAGAACTATAGACTTGCTCAAATATCATGAAGAATTTTTAATGTTAAAATTTGTCCAAAAGCAAATATCTCCCACTTGCATTCATGCATTATGTGCACCATTTTTTATTTTTTTAAAAAATAAAAAATATAAAATAAAATTTTCAACATATTGCATTTTAATTTTTTCTTTTAAATTTTTTTGGTGTTGAAGGGTCAAGAATAGCTCGCCCACCAAAAATTTTTGATTCAACCTACTTGCCATTCATACAATACCAGAGCTCAAATAAAAATCATAGAACAAGAATAGGTCAATCGATTTGAAAGGATTGAGAAGGTTCAAGAAGGACTAAAAGAGGATCCTAATAGGGTAATGGACATGCTCAAGAATTTGGATAAAAAAAAGCAGTGAAAGAAAATTCTAGCCTTCAAGAATAATCTTCAGACATGGTGGATTCTACATACCCTCCAGGGTTTGAACCACGACTAACTCAACCTTTTCAAAAAATCAGCATTCAAATTTCTACCCTCGGAGGATATGTCAATCTTTATCCAGGAATGACCTCTATACTTGTTTCAAGATAATTCCAAAATTTTACTAATCCTGTCATGATAGAAAAATCATCTGAACCAATCCTGATTCCAGACTCAGATGATTCCAAGGAGAGAAAAAAGCTAGAGATAGAGACATCTGAAAAAGTAAAAGATACCAGTGCTCAATAGAAGATAAAATTATTAGAAGAAAGACTTAGGGCCATAAAGGAAATAGATTTTTATGGCTCCACGAATGTAACTGAGCTTTATTTAGTTCCAGACGTGGTCATTTCACCTAAATTTAAGATCCTTGAGTTTGAAAATATGATAACATAAAATGCCCAATGACTCATGTCACTATATATTGTTGCAATATGACGACATATGCTCGTGACGAGAAGTTATTGATGCATGTATTTTAGGATAACCTTACAGGATCTGCAGTCAGATGGTATATTCAACTAGACAAGATTCGTATTCATTCTTGACAAGAGCTCTCAAGGGCATTCATTACACAATATCGACATGTCATAGATTTAGCTCAAGATCATCTACCTTTATAGAACATGAAAAAGAAGGTAATCAAAAGCTTTAAAGAGTATGCACAGAGATGGAGAGATATAGTTGTATAAGTTTAACCTTCTCTCACTGAAAAAGAAATAACTGTTTTATTTGTAAACACCCTGAAAGTACCGTACTATGAGAGATTGATAGATAATGTCACTAAAAGTTTTATAAATATGGTGATATCCGATGAAATTATTAAAAATACTATAAAGAATGGCAAGTTCGATGTAAGAGAGATAAGCAAAGCAAAGAAAGGTGAAACCCTTAAAAAAAGAGAATGAAGCCCAAGCAGTGAATTATGTGAGGTAACAGTTCAAAGGTTTCACTTCATACCTCACACCAGTGTACCAAACCCATTACCCTCCCATAAGCAATGTTACATCCATCCCTTATCCTTGTCAACCGTATCAGCCACTACAACAACCAGTTTATCCATTCAATTTTTAACCATTTTTTCAGACACTCAACTATTCATACAATTATTTCACTGCACCTATCAGATCAAAACAAAAATCCAAACTAAGTAGTAGTCTGAAAGCCTAAAAAATACCAAAAAATGAATCATTTTTGACCTTATTCCCATATCTTACATAAAATTGTTACCCCAATTTATCCAAAATCGACTTTTGAAACCTGTGCATCTAGAACCCCTTCAACCTTTTTACAAAAAATGATACGATCCTAATGTAAAATGTGATTACTATAATGAAAACCAAGGTTACTCAACAGAGAACTGTCTTGCACTGAAATATAAGGTTAGAGATCTCATTAAAGTTGGAAAATAAAATTAAAAACTAACAGTGATCATCATGTTGTTGAAAACTCTCTACCTTGATATATTAGAAAAGAGATAAACCAAGGGTGTTAAAGCATTGATGTGATGGACAGATAAGAAATTAGAGAATGATTCTATGGTTTTTCTCAAAAAATGATGGATACTTCATTTAATGTTGCAAAGAGGTAGATTGATTCAAAATAAAAAGTGTGCCCCTTTTGTTTCCTTTTTCACTTATGTATTAAACATGTGTATGAACTTCATGATTTGTATGAAAGTTGAATCTGAATGCTAAAAGCCTTTTTTAAAAAAATTTTTTTTCTTCTTTATAATAAAAAGTCTCAAAAATTTTAGTGGTCGTTATTATGAACCTATTTGAATAAAATATTCCCATTTTTTTTCATGTCCCAAAATCATTTGAAAAAAAAAAACTTTAATGCTTCAGAAGATACAAGTTTGAACTTTGTGATAGCTCTCTCAAGGCAACAAACACTGAAATGATCAATCTAAAAAAGAAAAAAAAACTTTTGAGTTCATTAAAAATTTGGCAAATATGATGCTCTTTTATCTAGATGTTGGTGATTTGATAGGTGTTAAGACTATGCTTCAAACAAAAACTCATCTAGATAGCCATGAATACCCAAACACACCATTTTTTTATCTAAGAGACATACTGACAGAAAAGCATGATTTTTAGTTGCCCTAAGATTACCTAGTTTAGGGAACTAGGTAATTGCATGATTGGGACCAAAATAAACCATTTAGCATGATTTTCATTATCACATAAACCTTGTTGACTTATCAAGATAAAACAAAGATTGGTTGTGATGTGAGTTATGAAAACAAAAAGAAAAAATAAAAATATATTGATGGTTACATTGTGCACTCTAGATATTCAAATGATCCAAAAAAAAAAAAAGAGGTAATAGAAACAAATTCTAGGTTTTTTAAGGAACCGATCTTCAGCACAAGTGACCATGCTTGATATGACAAATGACCATCTTTTCTTATCCTTTCACAAATAAAAAATTATCCATTTGCTACCCATTTGAGCCTAGTGAATCTTTTCTAAATGAACCTTAATCAGAGATCACTTTTTACATTAACAAAAAAATACAAAGAAAAATCCATCTGATGAAGGCATGCTCCGATAATAAAAAAAGAATGCCTTAAGTTGTAAGGGTAAATGTCAAACAAATTGAGTTTAGAAGTTCTGAACATATTCCAGCAAATGTTGAAATATGCAAGAAAGAGCAAAAATGAAAGCAAAAAAAAAAAAAAAAAAAGATGATTGGATGTTACGATTAAAGAAATAAAAGGAATGAATGACCAAAAGAAAGTCTTGCACATGATGTAAAATGGTCATTGGTCTGATCACCTTTAAACACATGTTTTGAACCTATTTAACCATTCCTTCAGAACCTCAAACTTTGGCCTACGTTACATACTTTGAAAGTCCATTTTGATTAAACATGGATGCTTAAACTAAAGAGTTTGTTTCTTGTAAAATCTTTTATGACCGACTTCGCTTTTGTCCATTTTCTTTTTCATAAGAATACTTGAGTGCATGATGAAATCGTCCAAAAAAATAAAAAAAAAGAGCAAAAAAAGGTCAAAAAAAGAGAAAAATGAAAGAATAAGCTCTATGGTGAAAACTAAAAAATGAGCAGTCTAAAGCAAGAATGAGATTGCAACGTGAGAACTCATCACAACCAATGATCGAGATGTGTGTAAGGGTTATCATAAAAAATTTTAGCCTTGCCCAATATGATCTTGAATTAACCACGGTTGGTCTTGACATCTATTAAAATATCATATTGTGATACTGAAAAAGGTGTGAATCTTATTTAACCATTACAAAACCTCTCAAAAAAATTTATTGTTGAGCCTAGATAAAAATTTAATTTTCCCATGAGAACCTTAATTTGACAATTGATCATCCCAGCCTTTTGAAAAGATAGAATTGTCATGTGCATAATAATGATCACCATTTTTTTTAAAGACTTAAAGAGTCACATTATTTCATTGAGGTTGACTAAGGTAATTTTTTTTTTGAGAATTTTGTCATTAAAATAAAATATTTTTATAGAGAAAAATAAAATTTTGAAAAAAAATTTGAGAAAAATAAGAGGCAGTATGTGAATTCAAAAGTATGTTTAATCAGTTGAGTTTTACCACCATTCGATAGCTCATTTTCTTTAATTCCCTTTCATCAAGTTTGAATTGGCCATATGCATGTTTGATTTGAAAATAAAAAATGAAAAAAAAAGTCGAGAAATCCAAATTGTGAAGAAAGAAAGTAAAATTTTTTTGTTTTATTTTTTTTTTGAAAAAAGTTGGGATCGAATTTTCGATAAATCCATCCGATCTAATATATATAATATATTTTATTATTTATTTAATTTTATATTTATATTTTTTTATATTTTATTTAATTTTATATTTATATTTAAAAAATAGTATCTTATTAAATTTTGATCAATTACGATTTTATACATATATGAGTCGAATCAAATAAAAAAATTATTTTAATATATAATCGAGTTAAGATATTTTTTAAATAAAATCATATTAAATTTGAGACGAGCAAAAATTTAACAAAACTCTACTCATTGTCATCTTTAATATTAATATAAAAATTATTTTTTTTAGAATATTACTTATTTATTTATTATTATTATTATGCACTATAGGAAAGATTTGGGCTTAGATTTCTGGGGCATGGGTCCAAAGGACAGCCCACTAGCTGGGTTCACTTCACATTGAGAAAAGATATTTTCTTCATTGTTTTATTATATTTTGCCATCACTATCCATCCAGCTATCCATTTTCCACCCTCTTTCTCTCTCTGCGGAAACCAAGCCCAGGTTTCTTCGAGGTATGAAAAACATTCTCAGCTCCTAAAAGAGACTTCTGTTTTGCAAGAATTCATTCTTTTTCCGTTTCTCTCATTTCAATGCTTCCAAATTCCTGATCAATTATTGTTCTTTCTTCTATCTTTTTAGTCCATTAATGGTTTGTGATCAGCTCTTTGTTTTAAAGCAGGTAGGATCGATCTCATAGTTAATTAAACAACCTCGTTTGCTTTTGTCAAAAAAAAAAGATGCTACATATATATATGCTATGTTGGTATCACTTCAGAAACACACAGCATAGATTAAGTAAAAACTAAAGAGCAATCCTTCTTTGTGCTGTCGACTGTCCCTATTTACATATTCGGGCTCTTTAAAAAAGGCAACAAAAGCAACAGATAGAGGGTGCTCTTTTTTATTATTGTTCCTCTTGCATTCGCTGTTTCTACTTCTAGCAACTAATAGTAGTATTTTCTCACATATCAATTATACATATAAAATACTTGTTTTTTCATCTTATTTTTAAGATATCCTCTACTGCTACTTCTACTGCAGTTTGATGAACAAGTTTAAAGATATTATCATGGACGCTATCATCGCTAAAACTGGCATGGTTGACAGCATAATCCTAAGGATATTCTGCAGAAGAGAAATCTTGATGGACAATGATCAATCCTTGGCAAGCTTCTTCATAGCAAAGGCTTGTTGACCTGTCTTTTGGTGCTATCCTACCTGAGCTTATTAAAAAAACCACCCCCCTCTTCTTCACCTTGTTCCCTCTTTCTCCCTCCCACCATATTCTCTTCTTGACCTTGTAAGGCCTTTTCTGAACCTTGTAAGACCCCTGGCGAAATCTGCTACTCTCTTTATTATTATCTTGAAGGATTCTTTACCAGAATTCTTATTTAGAGAGCTAAGCAATTAGCATCCGCTGTTCCCACCTAACCCACCATCTCCTTCTCTGTCTATCCCTCCTGAGCTATATAACAAGCAAATCATACTGCAGTGAAACCTAGGGTTTCCATATGTCAAAATCCCCTATATATATCAGAATTCAGAGTAAGCCATTACCATTGCCATTGCAGCAGCTAGCTTATAGCTTTAAAAGTGGCATGGAATGTCAAGTTTCAATGTTATGGCCTCATGGTCATGGGTTATTCGTTGCTTTTATTGTAATATAAATAGAGGCAAAAAAAAAAAATAGTGACAGAGAGTACTGAAATGATTGTGAGGCTTTTGCTCATAATCTATCGTGGTTGTAGCATCTTTTGTACACATCTGAGAAAGCATTAAATCTCACTTTGTATTATTATGACTGCAGGAAATAGAATTCATGCCGGCAATAGAGTTGTCAGATTGTTTGACATTTTGTATTTCGTAACAGGAACTTTTTATTTTTGCCACTGAAAAGTCTTTAATATTCTCTCATATCTTTTTGAAGGGCCACCACCTCGTGATCGTTGTTGCAGGAGTATAGAGTGATATGACCATTGCATAATTGATGTTATGCTCTTTTGTGCTTTATTGTTCGTAAAGCCTGTGAGGTGGGGATGGATTTCAACGCCTCTGTGTATGGTTCTTCTGTAATTGGTTCTCTTGGTACATCATTATCCTTTTTTTCTCATCTCTCTTTTGTCTGAGAGTCAATCTGTTAAAACTTCAAAAAGCAAATAAAAAAACCAACAAGCTAAACGAGCAGGCCCACTGAGTACAACTCACCAGGGAGGAAAAAAAAGAACAGAGGAAATGGAACAGGCAAATTGACAAAATTTTGAAAATTGGAGGACAATCAAGTCTGAATGTTAAATGGACTGATGATATCAAAACCGAGCATGTCCACAGATATAGTACAAATTGTAATGAAATGCTGGCTTTAGCTTTTCCATATAAAAGTCGTGGTGGCTATCAACTGCAGCAGCAGTACTGCATGCTAGAGAACACATCATATATGATGGGGATATAGGGTCGTCTTCCTACTCTTATCCAATGGATATTGCAATAAGATTGCACTGTTGCCACCAAAAACACATTACTTGAATTATCAAAGCCCAAATGTTCAGATTCATAAAAACTATGAAATATGAAATGTTAGTATTGCTTGAGCTTAATTACTCTTTGGGGTTTATTCCTTTGCCTTCCCATGACGATTGGGGGTTAATATATCTGAGCTTTTCCCCTGGTTGTCTGAGTATTATTTTTCAACTAGGAAAGAATGAATAGGATTAATGATCCGAGCCATATTTGAGGAGTACATTTCAAAGCATGTAGGGTGAATGGGGGATAAGGGACATGGGCAGTGCAACATCTTAGGGAAAAGAAATCTATTGTAATATTCCCTTCAGAAATATTGCAATGCCACTATAATTTGCTCCATGGCATCACTCACTGCCTCCCCTTTTCCCCCCCAATGGTTGAATTTTAGGTAAAGAAATCATGTTTGTCGCAATGGATTCAATCACTTTTGTGAAGTGTCAAGCACATTGAGCTCATCTTTTCAAAAAAGCGATTTCTATATTTTGGGTAACATGCTAACATTGGGCACATTTAATTGGAAGAAATATCAAAGATATTATCAATTTTCTGTTCAGCGTATAATCTCATTCTTTTTTCTAGTGGGAAAAGTAGAAAATGACGCCCGGCCCTCGTCACAATTTTCATTCACCTTTGCTAGGGGCTCAAAAAAGTTTCAACCCCTCTGGTCTATAATAATGCCTAACAATTCCCCCTCCCCCCCAAGTTATCCGTAGGTTATGGGCATATACTACAAAAAACTTAGACGATATACGATCTTCTATCGTACGGTTCCGTCACGACAAAAGCAGAACCCGTCCGATATTTTATAGGTGGGCTACACGTGGATTTTTTAATCCCGACATTATTTTCATGGATACACATTCATGTATTTATGAGACCTGTCGGCCCACATTAACAAGGTAAAAAGGCTTAAAATGAAGAAATTTATAGGGCTTTATCATCAAGGTTGAAGACCTGTCTTTTTTAGCTTGTTAACATCAAGGGGTAGTCCCATAGTTCCATTATTTGCTTTGGATCCTTGAGTTTGCCTTTTCATTTTTCTACAACTGATTGCAGCTCTTAATACTGTTTGGTAGGCTTTGAAGTGATGGCACCTTTTCGGGTTATATCTTGACCTGATATATTGCACTTCACATGAGGCCCATAGACGTCCGTCCTTCAGAGTCCATCATCCTGTTCCTATATTTAGAAAGGGCAATTTCATCTTATATTACAATGCCAAACACCCAAACTGTTTGGTCCCCCCTAAAAATAGTTGTAGTAGACCGCAATTAATGGTGGGCCGTTGTAATATTAGTTAAAATTTTACCTTTGTTAAAATTATATGTTTTAATAAATAATGTGATGTCTTTAGCAAAAAAAATTAAAAAAAATTAAAATTAATGGAAAAGAATGAAATTTCAATGAAAATTCGTACTTGATATTACAAGGGTTACATTTGTATGAAATTTAATGGGTCAATTATCCAACATCAATGATTTGAAATTGGATATAAAGTTAATCTTATCCTTACCCCTTTAAACATCGCTCAACAATTAATTTTTGCATAATGCTATTGCTCTGCATGCTTGTCGGCTTAATGCTCATACCAATTGCTCGCAACTTCAATTGGATTTTAAATGCTTCTGCAGGGTTGCATGTTCTAACGAATTTGTTAACCATTTTTTTGGCAAAGGGAAAGCGGAATTCATGGATGAATAAATGGCAATGGGCAATTTGTTTTTGGCGGTCTTGGCAGGAATTGTTTTCTTTGTCTTATGGGGTGGCTCTTTGCAGTATTGCTCCGGAGGCTGCATATGTCACCCTCAAACCGTATAAACTAAATCATTTGTACTATGTATATTTAGTTTGATTGTGGGAAATTAAAATATAATAAAGATGTGAAAACTTACATGATTTATAGAATATTCTGTTGCATAACACAAACATAATAAGGCTAACCTGCCTCAAAACATCCTTAAATCATATAATGAAAACCTATGCTAGTTTCTTAACAGTTCTTGTCCGAAGACTGCAGTCCAAGATTCATTTCATATGCAAACAATGGCAAAGATTTGATAGTCCCTATGGCTTTATGATGTCTGCATTGTTCTCTACTTCTTTGTTTGCTTGCAATTTGTCATCATTTGAAAAGTGTTCAACTTAATTGTTTCATTTCAATGGAGATTACGATTTGATTGACAGAACGAGTTACAACAGCTCCGGCCTGGAAGTGTAGAAATATTATTCCAACTGGCAGTCACTTTGAATCTTCTCCACGACAAAAATTCTCTACTTAATTTCACTTATAGTTCTCACAGAAAGAGCCAAGGAAAATGTCGTAGCAAAATCTTGGCATGGCAAATGTTTTAATGACAATGATCTTCACCAGTTGGACTGTTGGAGGCCTAACAAAGGACTTTTGACGAGCTAGCTTTTTGTTGCCGACTAGAGTCGTTGGACAATAATAAGACACAACAGCACGAGCACGGTTCCAAAGACTGAAATGTTTGACATTATATTATAAAATTCATGGAGAATACACATAAATCAGTTGTTTATTTATTCTTTGTATATATAAGAGGTTTAATAAATTCCGTTTTAGATGTTTTGCTGTCCATTCACACCGTATGTTAGATTAATTTAAAGATGAATAAGTTATTAATCTTGGTTTTAGGGTATATCGGTTAGCGGACGCAAAAACAAGTTTGTTTTTGTTGTTTTTCCTTTTTATCAATGTCGTTGAACACCTATTAATTGGTGAAAGCTTTCTTCTTGACTCTTGTCCCGGCGTAACTGTCTCAACTTACCAAAAATTTTCTTTCTTACTTTTTACTTTTTGACCGGTGTTTCCGCCTATTAGAAGCTGCAATTTCTCACTGGAACTCAGTATGTTGTTCCGAATGTATGCAGAATAAGAATATCAGTTCTGTTTGTTTGCTAGCTACTTTAAACATTCAAGTTTATATTAGTTTTTTGAAACATTTTCTAACAATCTTTCTGTTGTTGTTTGCAACTTGTTTCTATGATGAATATTGAATGCATTCTGGGTTGCATTTTCTGAAAAATATAAAATGGGTTCACTTATTCTGTCCCCATCTGGCTGCAGCTTACAAAGATCAACCACCACCCACCTTAACTGAATTTATATGCAATTTCCGATTATTCTAGCTAGCTAGGAAATTAAAAAGGTTGATAACGTTCTTTGATGACCAGGGGGGCAGTTACATCAGAAGAAAAAAAAGGGGGCAGTTAAGGGCAGGTGGTTCCCAAGGAAAAAGGGTGGCAAACTATTTATTGGCAAGGGTCTTAGCCAGGCTATTGCCTGAGCCTGACCATACATGTCTGCCTAAATGGCATTGTACTAGCTGTCAGCAAATTAATCCAGCTTTTTTAATCTGTGGCTCCAGATTTTCTGATGAGATTGTTGCTAAAGCTAAACAGGTTCTTGAGCTCAATCATAGGCAAAACACTTCCATCATATCGGATAATTAAAGTAGCCGTCTCAACTTATCAATTGAACCACCGGAACAATCAACAGCAATCGGGATTTACTTTAACTTTCATTCCTGCCAGCTCTTAAGTCACACGTTTGCACTAATTTTTTTTTTTCTTTCCCATTTGTCATTATCAATATTATCAATATCGTTGTCAATATCACCTTATTAAAGTTAGTAGATAACAACATTCCAACCTAAAGTTAGAGCTGGGGAGAGCCAAAATGATTGTCAACTGCCCACAGGATTTGATATTGTGACCTGCATTCAGCTCAAGTTAATTTGATTTAATATCGATCATTGTTATATTATTATTTCTTTTTCACTTAAAATAAAGGACCAAACCATCTTATCCTGAACTATGTCCTGAGCACAAATGGAGGGGGCTTTCTATTTTTCTGGATTTATTATTTATGAATTCGATCTACATCCTATGGCAAAAAATTTGTTACAAAATAATAATATAATTAATAATGCTATATAACACAAACGAACATGATACGTATGATCATGTCTCATCACTCTATAGTGTTTTAAGGCTTTCATATATATATATATATATATATATATTTTTTTTTTTTTTGTGACTAAAACTTTTCAATAAATTAAATGGCTGCTCACGGACAGCACCACGTGGTGACTGAGCAAGATTATTGAACCCCTTACTTTTTGTCCCAAACAATTTGAAAGGATAAGATCCATGGGATCGCATGAACTTTTTTTTTCCTCTTTTAGTTCTTGGTCTCGTCTACATGTTTGGCCGGCCTTCCACCATGGTATTAAGGGTCATGTTTGAGGGAGAGCAACCGCAATTTATGGAGACTGACACTTGTTACCCTTTGTAAATTTGCTAGTAATACAAAAGAACTACTTTTGCTTTTTTATATTTGCTAATACAAAAAAACTATTTTTTTAATTTTAAATTTTAAAATTAAAAAATAAATATATTTAAAATTATTTTTACTAAAATATTATTATATGATTTATTGATAATATCTAATATTATATATTAATAATACATTGAATATAAATATTGTTTTATTAATTAAAATATTAAAAAATTAACTGCCACAAACTAAAAAATCTGTATGCACTAATTGAAAAGACTATTTGCACATGATACTAATAATAAAATTTATTTTAATAGTGAAACACAAATCAAATTTCAAAATTGAGCAATAATAAGATGGCTCGGTCCTTTTTTGATTTTCAGATAAGGAAGCAGGTGGAATTACTAAGCCTAATATTGTTGTTTCTCATAGCAACTTAGGTTCAGATCGTTCACGGTAAAAATTCATTATCTTTATATTTGACTCTTCAATCTCACTTGTGTTTTTTTTTTTTTTTTTTGCTCTCGGTAAAAAAAGAGGGTGGGGGGGGGGGAGAGAAAATAAATCCATCAAGCTAGAAATATTATTTAAGTAGTTTTCATCCCAAATTTGATAACGAAAGATGGGAATTAAAAAGAAGAGTAACTCAATTGGAAGTATTGTTTTATTTCTGCGACGAAAAGAGCATAAAATGTTAAAAAATTACTCTTCCTTTCGTGCAAGTTATTAGCAACAATTTTATTTTGCCAACCGCTATGAAAACTGCAGCAAAAGAAACAGTGGTAGAGTGATTAATGGTGTTGATAATATATAGCAAATTAAGAATTAATTAATGTGACTTGAAATGCTCATATATATATATTTAATGTGATTAATGAAGTGAATATTTCATGTTGTGGGATTGGCTCTTCTTGTATTACTATTTTTTAATATATTTTTAATTAACATTCATATATATATATATATGTGTGTACGTGTGCGTGTGTAAAATTTTACTTAAAAAATCGTATAAGAGTCATAATTATAATAATGATTGAAAGTGCATCGGTGATTAAACCTAATATGCAACAGTTGCTCTATATCATTATCAACATGTTGTATAAATAATAGTAGAATAGGATGTTTTCTACCTACAAATGCAATTGTCTTTATCTTTTCCAATAAGTAATTAAGAGTGTTCGAATTCCAATTTTCTTCTTAAATTAAGCTCATTCACACAATTAAAAACGCAATCAGTTGCGATTGGCCCAACTAAATCTAGGAGTTCCGGATGGAGAGTCCAAATAGCAATTTTGGTTTTCAAACAAAATGGCTATTGGCCAATTCGGCCAGTCAAATGAAGGAGGAGCAGGAGGTCAAAACACGCGGATGCCGGAGAGTGAAATGGGCCGAAAACTGGTTAAATTTCATTTAATTATTAATTAACAAAATTTATAACCCACACGCTTTTGAAAAGTGTCTGATAACCCCAAAAGAATCCCAATTAGAGGGGACAGACAGGCGCTAACAGGTTGGCCCCCAACCTTTCTATTCTCACCTAATGTTTCATAAAATGTACTTACGTTTTAATTTTGTTTTGATAGTATAGGTTGGTATGCTTTAATTATAAAAAAAATGATAAATTTAAAGGTTTTTTTTTTATTTCAGATTTGATATTAAGTAATATTGTGAAAGTAAAATATATTTTGTAAATTTTAATTTATTTTTTATTATTTAACTATTTTTAATTTAATAATAAAAAATAACTTTGAAAATTAAGTTTTTTTGTTTTTTATTGTATTTTTATATATTTTATTTTTTCAAACTAAAATTCATAAATATTTCAATTTCTTTTAAGAAAAAATTTGTTTTCTCTCTCTAAAGTTATAACAATCCTTAAGACAAAGTTTTGTTTTTCATTTTTTTATTTTTATTTTAATAAATTTTTGTATAAAAAAATATTCATTTAAATATCAAATGAATGGATTAAATATTTAAAATTATCTTAATAAATTGATAATATTATTTCTTATACTTTTTATTTATTTGGTTTTTGAATATATTATATATTTATTTTACATATTATTAATAGTATTATTATATACAAACATATATATATTTGTATTAAATTAAAAAATCTAAAAAAATATATCAAAATAATTGATATTGATATATATAATTTAAAATAAATTAATTAAAATATTATTAATAATTTTGATAACTCTATCAGGCCCTTTTCTCCCCACGCACATCCTTAATACGTGAAAAAAAGAAAAAAATTTACCCATCATTATTTATTTATTAAATTTTTGGACCCTTCACATATTATAATTTTTTTGTTATAAAAAGTCCACGTCTTCCTAAATTCACGATACTCACTCGAAATTTTATTAATCATCCTTTTTTCTTTTTTACATAATAATATCACAGCCTCTCTTTCTTGTATAAATAGCAGGCAGCTTCTCAGTACAATTACACCTCTTCCAACTCTAGGCTCAAGCCTGCGTGTACTTCATTAAATTCTTTAGAATCCTGTTGATTTAATCTCCTTTTTTTTTTTTTTACAAAGAAAATAAAAGAAAAGAAAAGAAATGGTTGTGCTGTCCCCAGCTGCTACGAGAACCAAGAAAACCAGGGCAGTAGGGATTCCTGTGGTTGATCTTTCTCTTGATAGGTCGATCGTGTCGCAGCTGATTGTCAAAGCTTGTGAAGAGTATGGATTCTTTAAGGTTATTAACCACGGCGTTCCTAGGGAGATAATATCGAGATTGGAAGGTGAGGGGGTTAATTTTTTTGACAAACCAGCTGGTGATAAGCAGCTGGCGGGTCCTGCTACCCCTTTTGGTTATGGTTCGAAAAACATCGGCCCCAATGGCGATAAGGGTGAACTTGAGTTTCTTATTCTCAATGCCAATCCTTTCTCCATTGCTGAAAGATCCAAAACCATCTCCAATGATCCTGAAAATTTCAGGTACGATTATTTAATTTCCCCTGGATTTAAAATCTTGTTTTTCTATACACACACACACACATATATATATTAGCCTTTTTGTTCTTCCTTCTCTCTTTTCTTATTTCTATCCATACATTCATAAGTAAAAACTTTCTCCTCACGTTTTAAACTTTGGGAAAACATTTAGTAGCCATTCACGTTATAGTTCAAAAAAAGTTTAGGAAGTTTGACGAAAAAGATATATATATATATATATATAGATATACATACATATATATATATATATGTACACACATATGAATATGTTTATAAACCATAAACGGTTGAGTCTAGTGTGATGCAGGATATATAGCGGGGTTTATGCTTAGCCTATAATATTCATTTTCTATAAAATTGTTTAATACCATAAGAAATGAGTAATAAAGCAGAGCGGCCACGATCTTATTATACTTAGTAAAGAGCCGCTTTAAATTAAACGACATTTGGCCAGTGTACGATGGGGATTTAATTTTTGCTGGAGATAGTTTGCCATTAATGCTTGGTATCCCAGAAAGAGACATCTTTCGTTTATGAAAAAAAGAAAAATATTAGTAAAAAAATAGAGATAATGTTTATTATAATTTGGTTGAGTTATAAAAATGTTTACTATATTAATTAATATAATATAATGGTTTTTGTCTAATTATTTCGTTTTCACTGATTCTCCCCTCTTTTTGATAAAGAATTTAGGATACTTAGAATTAGTTGGACGCCACCCTTTCATGAATATATTTGGGCAAGTCAATCACTGCCACACGTGCAATCCAAAATAAATGGGAAAACAAATTACAACTCTACTCAGTCTAGGGAGTGCTTTAATGCTTTTGTACTGTCAACAATTGTCTTCAACTTGGCATGCACTGCTTCTTTATAGCAGCCTGGGGCCTACCCTCTAAAGAATTGTAGGGAAAAGAATTAGCATGATCCGATGAGTTAGATTTCCAACATTCTCTTCTTTTTGTTTCTGTTTCACTAGCATTTCTATTGATTAAGCTAGCTACTGCTGTTGTTTGAATATCTTCCATGCTTTCCAGCAATATTATTGTTTCCTTGACTTGTAAATTCTTAAAACAGTTTTAATTCATGAATCTAAGCATGTTCCAGTTTGATCCTACTTTAAACCCATTTCCTAGACAAGAAAGAAAATTTTAGAAGCATGAAGTCCACTTCTGTTAAGACTTCCTCCGGCAGGATGCAAGAATTTGGCCAAGTTATCATATCACAAGTGTTTGCATGAAAGGGTTCAATTATAACTATAGGTTCATAAAAATCAACAGACAAAATCAATAATTTCATGACCAAATGAAGAAAATAAAAGATTCTTTGAAAAATATAAATGAATGCTAAAGCCTCCATGAGTCACATGCTAGATTTAGAAAAGATTTGAAAGGGTCGTTTTCATGAACAATTTTTTTAAAGAAAGCAGGAAGAAATTTATTTCAAAGGATCAGTGATCATATTCAAGGGTAACATTATTATTAATGTTAATGTAGTAGCATTTCTTTGTTTTGTTTTACAGTTGCGCTGCGAATGAATACATAGAAGCAGTGAGGGAGTTAGCAAGCGAGATTCTTGATCTGGTGGCCGAGGGACTATGGGTGCCGGACAAGTACGTCTTCAGTAGGCTAATCAGAGACGTCCAAAGCGACTCGGTTCTAAGGATCAATCATTATCCTCCAGTCAATAACAAAGACCCATCATCAAAAGCATGCAAAGAGGATCAAATTGGATTTGGAGAGCATTCTGACCCACAGATCCTCACCATTTTTCGATCCAACGATGTTGCTGGGCTTGAAATCTCCTTGCATGATGGGTTCTGGGTCCCAGTTCCACCTGACCCCTCTCAATTCTACGTGATCATTGGTGATGCCATGCGGGTCAGTAATATTAATTAATTACTCCATTAATAATTATCTTTGCTATCCGAATAATTGTTTTTGGGTAATTGATACATGCCAGGTTTTAACAAATGGGAGATTTCTGAGCGTGAGACATAGGGTATTGGCAAACTCGTCAAGGGTTCATTCAAGAATGTCAATAATGTACTTTGGGGCACCAACTCTTAACGCAACGATCTCTCCTCTCCCAGAATTTGTGTCACCCCAAAATCCTGGCCTCTACAAGCCATTTACTTGGAGTGAATACAAGAAATCTGCCTACTCCTCACGCTTGGGGGATTGCCGTCTTAACCTCTTCAAGCAATGATAAAATTGGCATTGTTGAGCTACACAAACTTTCTGCTTCCGCCAGGAAATTAATTAAACAGGAACGTACATTGGAACAACCACACGTATCAAATTCATGATATTGTATAATGTATATAGGTCTCAATTCAAGACTTTAAGTTGAAGGGGCGATATTGATAGTTCTATTTAAATTAGCAGGAACTATTTTTATCTGAAGCCCTTCTTTTGCAGTAATAATCAATTTCTTTTAGTTTTATTTTTTATTGGATGTAATTTATGTAGGGGAAGGTTCCCATTAAAAAAAAAAAGAAAGAATGAAAAAAAATTATTCAATGATTTTATTTGTACTATATATAAAATTATTAATGAAAAAAAAATATATAGAGTGGAGTAATTTATAGTAACAAAAAATTCTTTCTGTTACTTTCTTTTCTCTTGGAGCAAGTATATTGTACACACAAATTAATAAATGCCAAAATTCAACATTAATTTCTATTTATGTGGCTTCGTGACTTGTTTATAAAAACATTTATCGCATTTTGAAATTGGTGAACAGATTCCAATTAGAAATATCTACAGCATCACCAATTAATCTAGCTGGTGGACATTGCCTTTTTTTTTTTTACTGGTTTTTCCTCCTTCAATATCTGCAAGGTGCAGCTCAAATATTTTTTAGTATAGCTGGGTTTGTGAAAATGACTGGGTAAAAGCTTAATTTCTTTGCCTTGCCTGGGAAAGCATTCCAAAGGGAAAGTTGGCAAGTAGTTTAGTATCAGCAGGGACGAAAACTAAAAAGAGAAATGCATATATGGGATCTGACTAGAACAACGAGAAATATTGCAGAGGGTAGCATTAGCACCAAGCCATAAATATATAGGGCTATATGTATATAGTTCTTAGGTTGCATTGGTATAAATGTATAATAAGGCACATCATGAATTTAAGGTTAATGAACAATTCAAACGGCTTGAATTGGCGCTAATGAATTTTAAATGAACTGCATGTTGGTGAACATAATATATAAACTTGTTGAACAATATGCAAGTTTTATATAGTGGAATTGATCTCAATCAAGGTAAACTAGGCCAGTGGAACTACCCGTCGAACGAAAGCCCACTGGCAGATGATGCATTGGACCGCTTTTGAGCTGTGATAGAGGCGATCTTCTAGGCTATGGAATTCAAAGAGCAGTGCACATGAACATAAAAGAATGTGTTCTTCTAGGCCCAATACTCTCTTCATAATGCAGAATTATAAAACCATGTAATGAAATGGACCTGATGTCTTGCGTTAGCAATTAACAACTTCGGGCCCAATTGAAAGCCCAGTATATTAATCATAACTGACTTACCTCGTAAAACGACGCCGAAAATACTGGAAGATATCTATATATATATATATATATATATATATATATTTGGTAAGAATAGTGGAAGATATTATTTAAAGTAAAATGGATATTGGAGTGTAGATCCTCGTGAATTGTGATCATAAAGAGTGCCGTGATCTCCGTAAAAACTGCAGTTATAAAATGTGGTCCTTGATTTGCCAACTGCCACGGCTTGACCTCGTAGAACTCCAATCTTATGTGGGACTGTGTTCTGCATTTCAACCAAATCCGGCCGCAAATTTTCTTTAGCCAATTGATAACTCGATAAGCATATGAAAACATTAGTTTTCCTCCTTTTTATTGTTATTATTATTAATTTTTGAAATTCATTTGCCTCGAATAAAACATTATAACTTGTTAAAATTGCTTCAAACTTATATTTATTACTTAGTTAACAAATTTTCTCTAATAAATATTCAACTAGAAAGGAAAAAGCAAAGGAAAAAGCAAAGAAATGTGTTAAGATTTGAATTTAAATGTTTTTTTGAAATATAAATTTAAGAATTTATAAATGTTTAAAAGTCCCCAACTAATCGGGAACGAGCTTCTAGTACTTGTATATAATCATAGAATTTTGAAAAGAAAAACAAGTGTGAACTTTTTTTTCTAGCAAAGGAGCGACCATCACGCTAACGTAAGTGGTGACTGCATTTCTCATAGAAAGAGAAGTCCATTTTTGAGCCAACAATTCAATTTTTAACTCCACTAAAACGTTTACTTGTTGGCCGATCGATTCTAAAACAATTGGCTGTTGCATCTGGAAAAAAAAAAAAAAAAAAACCTTTAATTTGGAGAAGCATACAAGAGTCAAGCCCTAGCACCTATGGCTGCTTGGCTGCTTTACATTTTTTGAATAACCAGCAAATTTTCTTTTAATTGTATTCGTCTTCCACTAAACACTATTAATATTTATTTTGTAATAGAGAAATTATTATTTCCATTGACAATGAAGTTTTTAACGTTTGTAAGTAAGGGTAATAAAATGACACATAATTCATAAAATATAATTAAATTAAATTAAAAAACAGGATATGTAAAAGTTTTTTAATTTCAAAATTAAAAATTATTTTATTAGTGTAAAAAAAAAAGAACTCTTGTTGTCCAATTACCAATATTTTCGTCCCTCCACTCCTCTCTCTTTTCCCTTCTCTTTTGTTTACTTTCCAGCTTAAAATGAATAATATTCAACTCTTTTTCTCAATCTTATAAGACTTATGAAGATACAAAAGTTGAATTTGAATTAGAACTATAGTTTACTTTTTTAAAAAAAAAATTATATCTAGTCATCAAATCATTACAAGCAATTTTCTAATTATGTTTGTATGTAACAACAGTTGAGTTCGATTGTAATTGTATATTTTTCTTTAAAAAAATTAATAATTATATCAAATACAAAAATCAATAATCTTGACATTTTACAATGAAAAATGTGTTTGTTTCTCTTAATTGAGGAAAAATGTTCATCTTTACTACTTCTAATGGACAAAACCTTATAAGAGTCCAGTGATCATGATTACTTTCATGGGTAAATGATGAATGACGAAATTAATAAAGAATAATAATTGATTTGAAACTTGAACGGAACGTTATATTAGCCATGCCCCATTGTTTTTAAATGATAATAAGTGCTTTTAACAAAATTGCAAAGAATGGATGGTTGGGTAATTATGGGATTTGGCCAGTTCAACTGTTCCCCTGTGTTTGAGTTGACTGCCTAATGGGTGTCCAAACGAAGGGATGGCTGGTTAGACTTTTGGAGGGAGGAGGTGGTTTCAAGGGTTGCGGCAGTTAGTGCTTCAGTCCTGCGGGAGGAAGCCTACGGCTACCGTTGAATCCAACGAAAAATGAAGCTTTTCCTCCAAGGAAGGCTGCAAAGGAATCAGCCTTATTAATATTTTTTTTACATATAATTTTAGTCAATCAATGCCTCCTCCACCCTTCGATATAGTTGCATTATCTAGAATATCCAAGCTGTAGTAGTCACGAGGGCTAATTCATTGCAAGGATAAACATAAAGAAAATGTGCAAAAAACAAGAGATCCACAGGTTTTGTCCCCTGAGATGATGTTCCTGTTCCCCCTTTGGAGGGTAATTTTCATCCCAGGCTGGCCCCGCATTATTTTCTTCCAAGTGCTAAACGATATATATTTATATATTTATATATTTATATATTTGCTAAGTAACAAACACATGATAGATAGTATTTGCTATGAATTATGAATATCGGTTTTCTTTTTTTTTTTTTTCATTCTAAAAAAGAAATTATTTAATAGTTATTGTCCTATTGCTACCTACGGAAAAGTTATTGTACGATAAAACAAATTACGTGTCCTAATTTTGTTCGTAAATGTTTTAAAATAAATGCTGGCATCACTTTTCCTGCAAGTAGTGTCACATCTCCTAATTTGATCATTCTAGTTTCTTGGTTGTACACTTTCTACTTATGATTATTTTGATGAATTAATATATTAATTTTTGGAAAAAAAATAAAAAAACTAATGTAAAATTAAGAATATAAAGTTAAATGGCATATTTCCCTGCATGGATGCCTTGAAGTTATATACACTTGTTCTACATAAAATAGAAAATTAAACCAAACTTATTGTCTTGCTATGCATAAGTTAAATAGTGACCCAACATAATTAATTTCACTGCCGGTGAAATCTGATTTCACCTCTTATGACTATTATTTTTTTCACATTTGAAATTATCAAAATTTAAATTTTAAATTTTTTTTGGTTCAATAAATTCGAAAGTAAATAAGTTATTCAGTTTTTAAAATAAGATGTACTGTACTTAACAGCCTAAAACAGATTATTGTGTCACTATCAAACGCTCCAAAAGGGAGTAGGTAGTATACTCCAATCTCATATCAAATATGAAATAGAGGTTATTAAGGATATAAAAAGGTTCACATCATCGTCTTCTTGTGAAGTACTTTTTGTGTGATAAAATCGTGAGGTCGGAAGGGATCAAAACGAATAATACCTCATAAGGATGTAAATTTTATGTTGATTTGGAATGTTAGATAAGTGGATGCTTGGGTTCTAGAACTGTAAGAGCATGGATGTTTAGTTTTGTCTCATAACAAGTAATATTAGACCAAGCTCTGAATTGTTCGACCCACGTTAAGCGTATCGAGAAGATGGACAAAGTGATCAGTCTTTGTAAGAAAGACGTCACAAAGATTAGGTAGGAAAAAATGTTATGTCAACTGCTCCAAAGGAGAGTAGATAAGATACTGTAATCTTACATTGGACATGAAAGAGAGAATATTGGATGAGTGTATGTCTGAGTTTTGGAGTCGCACGAACTTAGAGATTAAGTCTCGACAGGTGACAATTGTAAGTTGTGCATTTGAGATAACTCCAATAAACAATCACCAATAAAACTAAAACCTAAATTTTTTTTATTAAAATAGATTAATTTTATCCAATTAAACCAACATCTTAGTAGCTAAAATTTGAACATTTTATTACGACAGACGGTTCACGTGATGGTTCATCAACTTCCAAAATCACATTATCACAAGAATATTCCTTCTTTTACAAGGTTGCCTGGAACAAGACCAAATATTCTGCTGCTAATTTCTCTGGCTACCCTATCCTCAACTTTCTTTTTTCCTCCGAATATGAGTAGCTTCATCTTTTAGAGATGCTAGTAACATATCTTGAGATGCTTTCCTTCTAGAAGTAGTGCTTTTTTTAAGTAGTAAAATTGTTTTCAATAAAAATTAAACTACATATATCTATGGATGCTCGAAAAGGAAAGATAAAAAAACACAGAATTGAGCAATTGATATTCTTCAGGATACTCTAATGTCATAAATCCCTATCATCCTGACTTTGTTGCGTGAAACATTTACATTCCAAAAGTTGTCAAATTTTGTGGTGTTATATACTCAATCAGAAAACAAAATAGCGAAAATATTTAAATATAATAATAAAACATGATACTTCACGTAAGCAAATTCATATCGTTAGGCCTCATCATAAAGCTGCTGCTGTAAGAACCAAATATTCTCTTCATTCCACACAGTATCCATCGAGTCCCCACCACCCAACCAACCATTGCTCTGCTCCTCTGTTGCCTGAAATTCTACCTCATCATCTCTACCCCATGTGGCCGTTAAATTTTCCTGGTATAAACCCGACCCATTTTGGAAGTTATTTGGGAAGTTTGAAACATTTTGGGGATTGTAACAATCTGTGAGGTCAGTAACGGAAGAGACTTGGGTGTCCAGGGAGTCTGATGAAGTGCCTGATAGCTCGGGCATGAGACTTCGGTCAACCTGGACTGAACCAATTGTTTTTGCATAGGTGATTTGACTGGTGGTTATATTGCTGATACTATCGATGTAGGTGGTGGTGGTGGCGGCGTTGGTGGAGGGTTGACCTGAGGGGGAATCGGATGAAGCACGGATCCGTTCAATTAGACGGGGAATCCAAACGTAACGCATGGCATCCCTGAATTGTTGGCTGTTAACGTCATATTTAAGCTGCTTTGCCTGCTTCTGAACTCTTGTTCTCCAATAGTTCTTTATTTCATTGTCTGTTCTTCCAGGCAAGTGTTGTGCAATTTTTGACCACCTTCAGGTTTTCAGGATCACAATTAGACAAGGTAGCTAAAACCATTCATATGTTTATTGAATTTCAGGAATGAGGAAAGCACTACGGGAGTCAAGTAAAAACCTGTTGCCCCATCGAGAATGGAGTTCAAGAATCAATAGCTGCTCTCTGAGGCTGATGTTTCCTCGTCTGACTTCTGGTCGCAAGTAGTTCAGCCATCTTAATCTGCAGCTTTTGCCGGTTCTTTTTAATCCTGTACACATAAATGGTCATGTCAATAACACAAAAAAATCATGTGCAAACAGATGCAAAAAAGCTAAATATTCTTGGGTTTCTATCGATTTTGAATGAAGGAGACTTTTTTCCAATAACAAGGAAAGAAATAATCGTGGAACAAATTGTTAACCTGATAAGCGAGCAACAGAATTCCAGTGACCTTCACCATGAATATTGACATACGCCTTGAGCATGGAGTCCTCTTCTTCAGTCCACGGACCTTTCCTTACGTCCATCTCTTCTTCACTATGTGGAATTTCAGGTATGAAACCTCTCTCGTAAACGTCCATTCGTCAACTGAAAACAGGTTACTTTCTGTTGAAGAACGGAGGGTAAGAATCTAAGAGAGAAAGAGAGAGAATTGGTTTGGGGTTTGGATTAGTGTTGAAGATACAGAAGATCGATGAGCTTACCAGGATATTAGATTAGAGGGGATTATATAGAGAGCTGCAAAGATGGATTGGACTGATTAAGTAAACAATAATTTTTTCTCATAATAAACAAGAAAAAAGAGGGACGTGTGTGATAGAAGTTGAACGCGCCACGACCCACAAGATATTCATAGTAATCAACTCAACTGATTAAGTTAATAGCAGAAAACTGCTATTTTATTGAACCATTTGTGAATTTTCTATTTGGCTTTTGACTGTCTGACTTTTCCATATCTCTCTCACGCGCACAATTGGACAAAACATTTGAATATGAACTATGAAGACCAAGCGACACTATGTGGAAAAAAGTTTTCCTCATCAGGACGAGTTGTCATTGTTTATTACTACATGCTCAATATTTTCAATGTGTTCTGCTGTGGTTTGCAACATGTGAAGATGTTGAATTAGACCATGGTTTCAAATCGGATTTTATTATTTATGACTGACCAATTCCTTCAACCTTTTGGTTTATGCTCATCCCTTTTTAGTGGCTAAGCATTACTACAATAAGAAGCAATGTTATTGCTCTTTGTTGAGTGTAAAATTAGAAGTAAATTTTTTCTCTTTCTTGTGGGGTTTTAAAGTGTCATTTTATCTGCTCTTTGAAACTCACAATATTTTGAATCCAGTTTATATGACAAATGGCTAATTTGCATAGGAAATTTTGTTTGCTTTTGGATTCGGGGAAAAAAAAAACGAGTTAGGTGAGCTTGGCTAATCGGAAGAATTTTAGGCTCGTAGAGCAGAGGGAAGTCAATTTGGTAACTGATGCGGATTGTGACTGGCATAAACTGTTTTTCAGTGATGACTTGAAAGCTGAAATGGAGGAAGATTGATGCAATTTTTTCTGCAATGGTGTGCTGACAGAAGGAAAAAGAAGTACCTGAGTTTATAATATTGAATTCTGTGAAGAAACCAAATTTAACAATCAATATAGTGAGGAGGGTTGGTGTGATGATGTGATTAAAACAGACATAAAATGCTCCCCCCGAGTCAAACAAATTTCACTTAAATTGTCAAATACATGTGATCAGTACCATCTTCAAACTGAAAATGAAATATTGTTAATAAATTATTCTCTCTCATTTTCACAAAACCTCAAATTGCGTTGATTTTCCACCAATCTTTTCTTTCTGCAATTCCGAATTGCCAGTAACTGATCAGTTCTTCATACATCAAGTTTTCAAGGTGTTCCTATTCACAAGATTTTTGTTAGTGTGGTTCAACATCTGATGACAAAAATCTCCAGTACTTCAACAGGGAGTCTCCCCTTCCTGCTGCGGATGATTCTGATTTAACCCCTCTGCATTATCAACAGAGGAAGGATGTTCTAATCCTGACCAGTAAGATTGCAATAATCAGGTGCTGTTAGACAGTAACATTCATGAATTGACCTATCCTAAACCTTAAATCAGACAGCATATTCTTTAAAATTAGTAATTTAGAGAATTCGAAATATAAATATCCTGTATTTTACTAGCAATTAAGCCTTGTAGACTTCATTGTACTAGAAATTCCTCTAGACTACAAACAGCATCGAATCAATCCCCATAACTTGTTTCAACCTTCGTTTGCATCGACGTAGTCTTCTTCTTTCTGGGTTTTTTCAACACTTATAAATGATGCTCAGAAAGATTAAAATGAAAAGAATAAAAGTAAATCATAAGCAGAGAACACTGATAACCAATCAAAAGCAAGAACATTAACTTTAGGTTCTTAATGGGGGTGGTAGAAAGTCCCATAACATTGAAATTTAATTAATAATAGATGAAATTCTTTTGGTGGAATCAACGATTGGAATAGATCCAAAGCAGCCACTCAACATGGTGTTTCTCAGTTTCCCAAAGATGTGTTTTCCCTTTTGGTCAAAAGAATCCAAAGGGTAAAAAAGCTTGACTATCAAGTATTGTTTTATATATTTGCTTGGCTAAAATGGAGAGAATTTATGGGAGTATCACTATACCATTCAAGCACATTTATTTATTTAGAGAAGAATGTTGCCACGATTGCTTTCAGCCCAAAGCACACGAAGTTCAATCTCATCCAAACTTTTTCTGTCATTAAAAGTAGCTTTGAAAGAATTTCCAAACAAGAAGCATTTTTTTCTTACATTCTTATTGGTATGAACAAAAAAAAAAGAGAGAGAGAGAGAGAGAGAAACTATTAAAAAAAAAAGGAGGAGAAATGATTGATTTTTTTCTTGGCATTAACGTTCTGGATAGGAAAAACTGAAAAATAGATATAAGGGGAAAAATGGGGCTTTATTGATGCTGTTATGCTGTATTAGAAATTTAGAATAATATGAAAGAAAATGAAATTATATTGTTCAATCATTATATCAATAGTTATATCTCAAGAAAAAAAAAGAAAGTTAAAATTTAAAAGTGGAAAGAATCCAGGTTTTAGTTAACTTAGAAGTTTATTTGGTGACATTTATCAAAGTTCCATTCTCGGCTACATCACACTTCGCTTTAAATTTCAGTTAAGGGCTCGACCATGAAAAAGGGAATGCAATAGGCACGTGGTCGGTTGACGCTGTGGAGTTCTCTCCACGATTCGATGAACCACCAATTGACAGAGACTTTGAAGTGGAGAGTAGAATTGGGATTCTAATGTGGTTGGTTTGAAAATCATGAATCTATCTATATAGTTTGATTAATGGCTTGTTTGGGGGGGGGGGAAAGGTGGTTAGTAGGTCTATTTAGTTAATAGACATGTCCGAATAGACAAAACAATTCTTAAAATAAGAGTAGAGAGTATAGCAATGGGAGATTGTCCCCACAGTAATATTTCCATAAAAAAAAAATCATTTTGCTTAACCGGCCGAAATGGCTCTTGTTGCATTGGCTTTCGTTTTTATCTGATTCATATTTCACATTTACATTTACACCACCTTTTATATATAAATATATATAAGATATTTTTAATTTAGTCAAATGTAAAAAAATGGAACAAACCCAGATCTTATTGGATATAATTAAATCGCAATTATACTCCATGTCTTTTCAAAGTCTCTATCTTCCAAATTTCAAAAGTGTTTTTTTTTTTTTTTCATTAGGAAAAATTAATCTCCTTCTATCTTATTTATTTCATTAAAAAAAATCTCCTAATAAAAATTTTTTAAGCTTTCACCGTAATGCAAAATGAGTGAAATATATTAAAAATATTGATATAATTATCAGTCAGAACTCGTAGTCTTAAATTTGCAATGTGAAAGGGAAGACTTATATATCTTTTACAACATGAATTAAATTATGGAAACTTTTTATTAATCACAAAGCAAACGACTTTATTTATATAAAAAATTTCCAAATTATTATTAAAAAACAACATTTTTAAATTTCTAATAATTGCATTCGATTAAACTTTCCATGTATAGATATTTAAATAAATCAAAGAAATATTTACCAGAAGTGCTTTTCTTATGTTTTGTTGAGACTGCTGCATCCAATAACCAAGCTACATACTCTGGAGATAAGTTCGCTGCTGTTTCCCCAAAGTTTCGTTAAAAAAAATCCGAATCACCTCCACATGCAAGTTGTATATAATAAATTGTTTAATTCACCTGAATTAAACTGATCCGACCCATTAACTTTCATGACGAGAACGAGCTGACGACGGTGGTAATGACGATCACGATGTCAACAGTATCAAGAAAGTAAACTAGACTATTAATAAAACAAAAGCATTTGCTGTTGCGTTCCAAGGATTTAGCTTGTGAAAGCTCCAATCGTAAAGAGAACGGTAGAAAGAAATGATAATCTAAAATATTATTTATTCCACTAATTCTAGATTCAAGGCTTCTTTTTGGCAGAGGCACTACAATTTTTTTTTTTAGAGGGAAATATGATATTGGTCAGAAGAGAATTTTCTAAATATGATTTCAATCATAAAATTTCTTCTTGGAAATTGTAAGGTTATTGAATTGATATCTCATTTTTGTCATCTATATCACGTTATGAGTAAAGGCTTCCATTGTTAGTGGTAACATTTTAACACCAAAAACACAAACATTTAAAAAATTTTAAAAATTAAAAAAAAAAAAACTCATTCATCTATTCGTTTTAGTAAATTTATCAAAGATTAAATCATAAAACTTAAATACCATGAATATGTACAAAATTTAATATATTTGATTCATATAATTATTTTGTTTTAAATATTTAACAAATTTTGAGTTCAAATCCTATCATTTACAACTTTTAATTCATTCTTCTATCTTCATATTATAATTTTTTTTTTTTTTGTAAAAACAAAATAGCATACATTAAATCAAACTTGGAGTTATTTTTCGAAAGCAGAAAAAGAAAAAGAAAAAAACAGCAAAAAGAAAGTTCTTCAGTTTGATTTATTTAATAATATAAAAATATAAGTTGACTGTAAGAATCCACACTAAAACATGGTATTGTATATAATTTATGTATTCTCAAATTTAACATGATTCAATAGAGTCGGCTTTCAACATACGCATGGCTATTTACAAAGTAAAAAATGGATTATAAAATTATACTGCTATTTCTTTTCATACAGATGAAATTAGTTCCCAAAGAGATCTATGTTTGACAAACTATTTCATGAGCTCCATAGTCCAGACCCTAAAAAAATAAATAACTTATCTAATTAGCTGTTCCACTATCTAAACTTTTTCTCTTTTTAAAGATGAAGAAAGATAGAAGAAGGCAAGTATTAGCACCATAAAGTGGCAGACCTCTCTGACTGACTGTAATCAGTTTTCACAGTCAAAATAGAAGCTTCTTGCACTAAAATTATATTTCAAACACCTTGTATACATGTTAAAGGTGTTTTACAGTCATCAAAACTATAATGTGAACACTAATTATTAAAATAATGTCAAATGATATCTCTTTTTGACATAAGAAATGCATTCCATTTTAAAGTTCCCTTAATCAAAAGTGGGGAAGAAGGGCACTCATAGTTCCAATTAAAGAATTTAATCTTTGATCTCAGATGCATGGTATGGTCCAGAAAGGCACTCTAGAAGATGTCTGATAAAAAGCAACAGTTCTGAAATACTAAAATAGAGGATAAAATATATTAAGGCCAAAGGGCAAAAAAGAGGGGAATAAAGGTAAAAAAGTGGGTTAGCGAAGAACAAAATAAGCATCATAAAATTGGGTCTCAATTTGAATGAAGCTTTAAGCAGGGAGAGGAAGTATACAGAACTTCATTACATTTGAAAAGGCACAACAAAAATTAGCAGAAGAGTAAACTTTGAATTCTAGTAATGTTAGAAAAGTAAAGAATAAGAATGTGATATTGATGAATGAATCAGAAGCAAAATTCAATTGAGAAACAAATAAATATAGGAAAAAATTAGTGATTTGAAAATTTCTTTTTCCTTCCTTTATTGGCATAAATCACTATAAGTACACTTTCCACATATGTCACAAGGAGCGTTCAGAAAATTTCGAGCAAGTGAAGGCATTATTTAACTGATATTGACCACTAGAAAAGAAAAAAGAACAGCGGTGTATTACTAGGAATAGCATTTACTGCCTAGCATTCAAGCAATCTGGCCAGTACAACTCATACCACGCTAAATGCCGACTGTATTGTAGATGAGACACGAGAAGCAATGGCCTGAGAGGCAAACGCTTGAATCTTCTTCTTGGCATCTGAATTCATAAAAGGCACTTTGTAAGATCATAGAAATGATCTAAACTGTAGCTGAGAATTAGCATTACATAGAAGGTTCAGGTTAGAATAAGACTAGGAATTAAGAGCTATATGATAGGCCTGAGCCAGCTCACCTTCAATCAAACAAACAAACCCAAGCCCAAGAAGTAAAAATAATAGAAGGCGGCCTCAACCCACCCACCCTTTAGCTCATTCTTCAACACAATTTTATCATCCTATAACCGGATTGAAATTACTATAATCTGAAATGGCAGAATCTTGTACCTTTACGGCATTTGGTAAATCCGATGATGTTGGCAACGCCAAGGCTCAAACAAACTCCCACAACTAGGAGATAATCAATATTGAACCTTACCAGTGAAAATAATCCAAGGATTGTCCAAGCAACTGCCTGAAAAAGGACAAAAAAAAGTATGAAATGTTAACTTCAAGTATATCAGACTAAAAAATTTGCAAATCTTCCTAATCCTGCAAAGCATTATGCATATCATTACTTAATAACTAACAACTCTAGATGACTAGGATCCATTAAAAATAACATAATCCAACTTTTAAATCTCCACGAATACCAGTCAAAAACCATCAGCAAGCCCCTTTCATGAATCCATCTTCCCAATAATTACTTACATTAAGGTACAATGTCCACCAAAATAGCCAGGAATCTTTTTGGTTAATACGAGCTAACGACTGCATAGAGGAAAAAAAAATGACAAACACCATAGTCGTAAAATGTTACAACAAAGCAAATCAAGACATGGGATAACCAAATGTAAGAATTATGTAAACAACCAACCTCTTGGTCAAGGCACTCAAATTTCCATATGCTCTCACCTTGGTCATTGATTTCATTCCAACACCTAAGCCCAACTAAGATACGGCAGCTGACATTCTTAACGACCCAAAAATCAAGAGCAGAAAGCACAACAGTGATCACAAAGATGATAACAAAACTATCGGCAAACAGTGCTGAAAGTATGTAAAATGCCAAAGCTGAAGCCTGTCAAAAAAAAAGACTGAAATCAGTTACACTAGGGGTGTCACTCAATTCTTGAAACAGAAAATTTTAGCAATCACCTTGAAGAGCACGTGAAAGAAACATGTTTTGGGATTGGCATAGCTTTCCTCTACGGGCTGCGTAGAGAACTTAAATCATGTAACAGACAAAAACATTGAAAAAAAACAAATATGTTAAAAAACAATGATGATTTGAGTAAAATGTAAAGCAAATTTCAAGCTAAAGAAAAAATTTTCAAAATTATTGGTAATGTCATGATCTGATGAGAAACTAAATGGCATCAAATTCTAACTTTGGGTTGAAGGGAAATTTTACCTGGATTAGATCCATAAGTAAGATAAATATTCAATGAAAACTGTGACACTCCTTTCTTTAGAAGATGGATTATAGAGGAATCAGAGATTTTGATACAACAAATTTGTAGGGGGGGAGCGGGTCTCTGCTTTTGGATTTTGGCTCTTTTCTCTCCTAGAATTTTTCCCACGTTCTCGCACGAAACGTTCTTTATTTTTCAACAAAAAGGACATTTGCAGGCTTGGGCCGCCTTGGCGTGTTGGGATACCATTAGTCCATTGGACAGAGACAAAAGCTCATCCAGCGATTTAGCTAAGCATGAACATGGTCCTGAATTGGGTCAAACTTTTCATACGAGAGAAATCCAGGGCCTTCAATTGTTCGGTAGGATCGGGCCTTTACTATTTGGATACAGGGAATTGGCTTTATACAGAACCAATGAAACGGCGAATCTGGCTACTAATACAAATCTGAGCCACAAAAATTAACTCAAAAATCCTACTATTGGGTCTTAATTTTGGTCAAACAACTCAACTACTTACAATTTAGTCTCAAAAATATGTCCAAAACATGGAAAAAGGATAAAAGAGTTCCCTGTTCAATAATTTCACGACTGGATGTTAGAATTTCTGAATTTGGAAATAGAAGTCACAAGAACATGAAAGTTCAAGATGGCAGAACGTGGGGACAAAAACTTTCCAGCTGAGCCCGTTTGTAATTTGCCTAGTGCGGAGTTCTGTAGTCGACCGTGATCGTCACCCCTCCAGCTCCAAACGCAGATGCTTTCCTTTTATAATCAACATGACAAACAAGCTGGCCCCCACAATTGTGGGTCCATATTTCCACATGTAAAACGAGGAATCAAATATTTTAGTGCCTGGGCCCTCACCGTTGTGCGTCGAGGGCTCCACATTGTTTCTGTAGCACATGGACTGGGGAGGAGGAGAGTCTCCTGTGCATTCTTTCCAAGCAGTCAAAAGTGACAGAATCGTCGGCCTTCTTAATTTTGTCACATTACTGTGAATTTATTGAAAGCAAGCTCTGGTTTTTAATTCCGACGGTTAGGCAAATCGAGAAAAGGAGAGGGAAATATCTCAATCAGCGAAAATTAAACAATACACTTGTACAATCGGTGAAATTCTTTAAAGTTCCATTATTATTATTTTTATTTAGAAAAACATGAACAATAGAAGAACCGACCATAAGCATCAAATCGTCCTGTTCAGTTGCAGATATTTGTGACATGTTGTGGACTTTAGCAGTTTAGATCCAAAGTAACTCAATCAAGGAGAAGGCAAGCGATCAAAGTCGTAGTTTACGGACAAAAGCAAGATTGATATTAGAAGCTTGTTATCATATATAGTAGAAAGAATCATGGTAATGCCTTCAAAAAAGAATAATGGTACTAGTGGTCGGGGAAATGGAACCAATCCAACAACATTTAGATCTCATGACTTGATATTTTTTAAGGTGACCAAAAAAATTTTAAGAAGAAATATATAGTGGGAGTTCCGATCATCCTCTATTTCCTATATAATGAAAAATAAATATTTTTTATTAAAGAAAAAGTAAAAGAAAGGATACCACAAATCAAAGATCCTCCTTTAGAATAACATATATTATTTGCAATTTGCCAAGTTGGTGAAGAAAAGTAATGTTTTTAAATATAATAATGATTTAGATATGCAATTCTCTTTCTTAATGATTTAGAAAAAAAAAAAATTTCAAAATCCCAACTATTCAATATTTCACTTTTTATACTTTAATTGATCACATTAACAACTTTGACTACCATCTTAGCAATCCTTATTTCACATCATATATAACCCATGACATATAAAAGATATTGATTAAATCGAACATGTATCACATTTTCTACATATTTTATTTTCTTTCTTTTTCACCATCTTATACTCTCTCTTATGTTCTTGCTTCTTAAATACTTCATCGACTTAGTGGTTATTTGAACTTCACCGCACTTCTAGTGCAGTATGATTAAATTTATTATATTTTCAATTAAATTTAAATATTAATTTTAGTGATATCAAATCAATATAAATTTTTTATTAAAATTTATTTTTTTATCGTAATTATAATAAATTTTTTTAATCACAATTATAATATTTTTTTTTTTAATTTCACTATAATCAATCTCATTGTTCATCCAAATAAAATTTATCTCAATATTTTTTTTTTACTTTTTTTATTATAGATTAGATATAAGTTTTGTCTTAATTTTCAACATTCCACAATCATCATTATCATGACATTAACACTATTATTTTTTCCATCTAAAAATATTTATCATGCTTTGATTTTTATGAAATGTAAAAAATAAATGTTGATTTTAATGTATTTATTAAATTTTAAAAAATTTTCAATTAAAATTTTATTATTTTTAATATCAAAAAAATAAAAAATCATAAAAATAATTTTAAAACATAAAAACATATAAATTTTAGATGTTTAAAAAATATATAATATAATTTTAGAACATCTAAAAAAAAGAAGGAATAATTAATTATTTCATAAGAATAAAAGTGAAAGTTCAATGTTACCACTATTTTTATGCATAAAGAAGTAATTGGAAGTGGATAGAGTTGTGATAAAGGCCATTATTCCATTACTATTTGGACAGAAAAAGAGCGATTCTTCTACTTGATTCAAGGCTTTGATGTAGCTTGCATAAAAATCTTTGAATTGCTGCCTTATACTGTCAACCTCAACCCATTTACCAAGCAAGGCACAAATGAGTATTTGTGGTCCCACTTTTGTTTGATTATTTGTGGTCACAAATTTTGGATTTCACCCTCCAAAAAAGGTAAATTTTAAATGCTGATTTCTGAGCCAACGATTAATTAGTACACAATCTGATCAAATTTTCTTTTACCAAATAAAACTCTTTCCACTAAACTTGGATGCTTGAGTTTTGATTTGATGCAAATGATCATCATGATCGTTTTTTTTATTAATATTTGGCCAGAATATCATGAACCATCATGAGAAAATTTAAAACCCGTGACCGACTTATGCACCAAATCTCAGGTGATTAAAACTCTCTCTCCCTTAAAGAAATATTAAAGACTTTCCAGAGTCTTCCATTGCAACTTTTGCACCATGTCTCTACCTAGAACCTTCTCGGAACCAATAATCTCACCGTTGGATCATCTACGGGACACGTCGATGGCACAAATACCAAGATCACCGGAATAACTATTGTAATCTTCCCATTTCAGGTTCTATTTAAACCCCTTCCATACGGTCTCGAAGCTTTCAAATAGAAAATTCAGAAAAGCCAAAGCGGGAAAGAGGTCTCTTAAGTCCTCCTTTAGCCATTTCCCTTCTGGACGTTCCCCACCAAGTAACACTATCATGGCTCCTGAGGTAGTTCAGCCTGGTGCTAAATCAACCGTTGTCGCTAAACCAGTCACTTTGCCTAAGCGGGCTTATATTACGTTCTTGGCTGGCAATGGAGACTACGTGAAAGGCGTTGTAGGGTTAGCCAAAGGGTTAAGGAAGGTGAAATCCGCGTACCCATTAGTGGTTGCTGTTTTACCCGACGTGCCTGAGGAGCACAGGCGAATCCTGGAGAACCAGGGTTGTATCGTTCGAGAGATTGAACCCGTTTACCCGCCTGAGAACCAGACCCAGTTCGCCATGGCTTATTACGTCATCAACTATTCTAAGCTCCGTATTTGGGAGGTACGTTCTTTTCACTACTACACGTGGTTGATTTTCTTGTTCGAGTTGACACGTGTTAGTCTCTCATGTATGACCTGAACTTTAGCCTGTGAAATCTTTGTCTTATGTCTGGATTCATGGTCGGTACATATTTCAGGAGATGTGCATGCAATCTTTTTTTTTTTTTTCTTTTCGACGGGATTACCCTTTAATGATCTGGACGGTTCTATATTTGTTGGAGGAATATTAGTGTCATTTACTGTGTACATAACTTTTTAAGATTCTGATTTTACTTACGTTGTTTACCTGGATTTGTCGTGTATAATTAGCTTTTCAATTAATGGTGGTATTGATTTTGAGCGTGCAGTATGTGGAGTATAGTAAGATGATATACCTTGACGGAGACATTCAGGTATATGACAACATTGATCACCTGTTTGACTTGCCTGATGGGCATTTCTACGCAGTAATGGACTGTTTCTGTGAGAAAACATGGAGTCACACCCCACAATACAAGATCGGTTACTGCCAACAGTGCCCTGACAAGGTCAAGTGGCCTGGTGAAATGGGTCAACCCCCTTCTCTTTACTTCAATGCTGGCATGTTTGTGTTTGAACCAAGCCTTACGGCCTATGAAAATCTCTTAAAGACTCTCAAAATCACCACTCCTACCGCATTTGCTGAGCAGGTAACTAGAAAAATCTCCAATTGATGTAGTTAATGATTAGAATATGATTGGATGTGCGATTAAATTAAATGGATTTTGATATTTCATCTGTGGCAGGACTTTTTGAACATGTTCTTCAAGGATATTTTCAAGCCTATTGCTTTGGCCTACAACCTTGTTCTTGCCATGTTATGGCGTCATCCTGAGAATGTGGAGCTTGACAAAGTGAAGGTTGTTCACTACTGTGCGGCGGTAAGTAGTTAGTACTTCACTTTCTATATCAATTTAACAATATAATTCTTACTAAAGTTCTTTCTTTTTTGGGTTAAATTGTTGGTCCTGGCCTTGATTCCTAATGGTGTGATTTGGGTGTGGGAATAAACAGGGATCAAAGCCATGGAGGTACACTGGGAAAGAAGATAACATGCAAAGAGAAGACATCAAGATGCTTATGGAGAAATGGTGGGACATTTACAACGATGAGTCACTTGATTACAAAAAACCAACCATTGCAGAAGGAGAGGCAGAGGCCGTGAACCTGCAACCATTCCTGGGGGCACTCTCAGAAGCTGGTGCAGTCCAATACGTAACAGCCCCATCAGCGGCGTAAACATGGCCAGCTCTGTTTTAGGAGGACGATAAGAAACAGCAACTACTCATAGATGTATAAAATTTGAAGGGTAAAAAAAGGAGCCTATTCCTTTTCCTAATTGACGACGAAGGTGGTCTCAAATAGGGATTGAGGAATTTACAAGCTTCTAGGTTTTGCATGTTTCTCTTTTTTTTTTTTTTTTGGTAATGAAGTGATGAAGTCTAGTGCCAACTTCGATATGTGGGGTCAAAGTTGGATGCGTCAGTTGGTAGTGTGTTTCGGAAATGAGTCCTTCATGTTAATGAAAGGGGTCTGCAGAAATGGGCCATTGGAATCTTTTGCAGCAATGGGGAAATGAAAATGCAGTACATGTTTCTGAATCACGTGTGCCATTTTCCACAAAATTCAAACTGACAATCTCTACTTGTAAATTAGTTTCTGTTGTTTAAAGCCAGGTTAGAAATTAATGCTTCCTTTTACTTATCTGTTAGTAATCAGTTTTCAAATTGATATATCGTGGAAGCCTCCATATTTGACGAAGTTGTGGACCTCATATGTAAGACTTGAAAGGCCTCCATATAATTGATCAATGCATCCGTTTCCCTTGCAACAGTTTTTAAACGGCTGACTTGCATGGCCTTGCCCTGATCTCTTTTTCAGAGAAGGTTCATCAAACGTCAAAGTTTGTCAAATACCCAACATTTTTATAAGTGAGAGACTCTCATAGGAAGCAGCGGCTAGGGTTTGCCAAACTGATTACAAAAATTCACTAGCTAGGGAAGTTCCATGTTGCATTCAGTTTGACGGTTTGAAATGCTTATGGAGAAACCATCAACTTTGTCAGGGATGGAACTAAGGCAATCATTATAAAAAGGATGGTCCGATAGCCACATCACCTGATTGCCGGAGACGATATCATTTTAATAACATAAATAAGAATAAAGGATTAATATGAATGTGGAAAAGAAAAAGGTGTTAAACCGGCTTTCTTCTCGTCCCAAATGGTTAGGTGCTTGACATTTAAACTTTAAATCAAAGTTCGAGAGCTGATAAAGTAACCAAAAAAAAAAACCCATAAGATGTTATTATTGCCTTATTCATATGAAAATTAATTTAAATTCAAATTTGTTGTATATTATATTTTAAAATAATTACAAGAATCAATTTAATTAAATTTTAAATTCATTTGATATGAGAATTAAATATAATAAAAAAAGGAAAGGAAGAATGCTACACATATAATATACATCTTTATGCCATTTACTTTATGTAACCTAGATAATTATTAATAAGAATAAAATTTGAACATTATCTCAAAAATAAATAGGTACATGATTAAGTCTCCAAACAAAAGAGTTAGATTCAATTTCCTTTATCTCAGTTATAATCGTAATTGATAAAATAAAATTATAAATTTATACCTCTATTTATAGAAACATGTAGTATATGCTTGTATACGTAGAGAAGATTTGCTTTTGATTCTAACTAAATTATATAATTCATTTCATATCCAAATTCCAAAATGTTCCTGTTCTATATATTTTATACAATTGGAACTTTAATTGTTAAAATGGGTTACAATGAGACATTACTCTTTAATTCAAACAAAAAATAAGAATTATTTATAATATAATATTGAATAAGCTAGGCATTCCTCTAAGTTTGTCTTTTGAAAAAAAAAAATACACCATTTAATAGATTTAATCGTTTGTCCTGCTCAAACATTTTTTCTTAAAAACATATAGTTCATTGAAAAATAGGTAGTTTTTTTCCTTAAAAAATAGTTTTTTAAAGAAATAAAAAATTTCCAATCATTTAGCCAATTTTCAGCGTTGGATGCAACTTAAAAATGCGTAACGCAGCCTTTGGGTGATACTTGAAACGTTCTCAACACTAATCCCGTTTCACTTCACCTCTTCAGAGTTCAGACTAGCCAAAGATCTAGGCAGAGCGCCCTCGATTCCATTCCCTCACTGTGTAAAATCCAATAGCAAAAAGAAAGAAAAACGCTCACCATTTAATCATCAGATGTTGCAAAATAAGCAATGTATGTTCGAATTCCTATCTGTCAACGATCCCCTTCAAGGTACGTTTCATCATTCTCGTTTCTTCCCCTCAAATTCCTTTGCTCTGATTGCAACCTCCCCAAAACGACGATGTTGACACCTTCTACCGCATTATAACTAGCTCTAGTTCTTCCAAAAACTTGACCCGATCCTTAAAATCAACTGGGATTTTTCTCCAATGATTTAATCGATAAAGTACTAAAAAGGGTCAGGTTTAGCCATGGGAATCCTATGCAAGCTTTTGAGTTATTTAAATATACAGGAAAAAGATAAGGGTTTTAGCACACCGCCTTGTCTTTGGAATTTGGATACTATGCTCTATAATTTGGGTAAGAGCCTTAAATTTGATCAAATTTGGGAGGTTTTAATTGATATTAAGAGAAAATAGCAGTCTTTGATCACCCTAAAACCTATGGAAGTCGTTTTAGCTAGAATTGCTAAGATTTGTTCGGTTAGAGAGACTGTAGAAAGTTTGAATTAGATGTAGCCTGTTTTAATGCTTTGTTAAGGACATTGTGTCAAAAGAAAAAGTATGGAGGATGTTAGGAATGTTTATCATAGTTTAAAGCCTGATTTTAGGCCAAATTTTCTGACTTGTAAGATACTTTTGTCTGGGTGGAAGTCCTTGGACCAAAGCTGAGGGGTTTTTCGAGGAAATGAGGGGATTGGGTGTTAAACCCGATGTCGTTTCATATAATTGTTTAGTTGATGGGTATTGCAAGGTTAGAGAAATGGATAGTGTATAGTGTGTTTGAAAAGATGAGAGATGAGGAACCGTGGCCTGATGTGATCACATATACAAGTATTATTGAGGGATTAGGATTGGTTACTCAGCCTGATAAAGTTAGGGATATTTTGAAGGAAATGATGGAGAATGGATGTTTACCCAGTTGTTGCAGCTTATAATGCTGCCATTAGAAATTATTGTAATGCGAAGAGGCTTGGTGATGCTTATTGTTTGATGGATGAAATGGTCTGACGGGGTTTGAGTCCCAATGCAACTACTTGCAATCTCTTCTTTAGGATCTTTTTTTGGTCGAATGATTCGAAAGGCTCGTTTAGTTTGTACCAGAGAATGATGGATTCTGGGTGTCAGCCAAGTACACAATCTTGTATGTTTCTAATTAGGTTGTTTAGAAGGCATGAAAAGGTGGGGATGGCTCTGCAGTTGTGGAATGACATTGTGGAGAAGGGTTTTGGGTCTTATGTTTTGGTATCTGATATGTTGTTTAATATGCTTTATGAGCTGGTGGAGGCCGTAAAGTGTTTCTTGGAGATGATTGAGAAGGGCCACAAGCTTAGCAATCTTTCTTTCAGGAGGACTGGCAAACAAGCTTGAGGCTATTGAGAACTTGAAAGAGAAGACGGCCGTTTTTGGTTCTTCAATCGAATTTTCTGGAGGTGAGAAGAATCTTACCCAAACATTAGATTTAGACCCATTTAATGGTTAATCATGAAAGAATTAACTAATGTCAACCATGGTGGTACTATCATTCCAGAAGAGGCTTTTCTAAACCATCAAGAAGATGCAGCAGCATATTAACATCAAAGAAGCCCTGAATACAACATTTATCTTTGTATTCTTAGGTTGGTAGGTCCATTACCAAATCGCAGGCTACCATTTGACTTGTTTTTGATCTAGGTCTGTGGTTTTCATTTTGATGTCAATGAACCTGTCACAGGAAGGGAAGGGTTCATTATCACCTGGTATTCTTATGTTGTGAACTTTTGATGGAGGTAGCAGATGCTGTCTCATTTCTTATTGCACAATTGCCGGAGAACTATTTTGTACTTGGCATACTTATTTGTTGCTCGGTGAAAGAGACAGCCGATCTGGAGGTTGATCTCAATTCGTATCTCTCCCATGGAATTCTCTACTAGCATTTCCTCTATACCATTATAATGTTATGCACGACAATTATATCTCCAAGCGGATCTCAGCTGTGTCATTTACTACGGGGATTTTTTCTTGAATGAAAATTTTTTGCAGATGAGGTTGATTTCCGTAAAATTTAATTTGTACCTTGTACGCTAAGTTTCGATTGTATTTGTGCGACATCCGCAGGTAGTCTGTCTTTTCTTTGGATTCTCAATTCCCCATTCATCACCTTGCAAGGCTCGCCCAGTGATTGCGACTATTCATCACCATCAGTTGATCAGGTCCTAAAAGTTTTCAAATGTTTGCTAACTTGTGTAATGAACCTGGCCAACAATCAATTTCCAAACTTGGGAATTTTTTTTTAATTTTTTTGCCGCTATCGAGACAATAACACTAGGGAAACCAGAAAATTTATCAATTATTGTTAAACTACAAGTAACAAATGGAGATGTTTGCAAGAAACAAAGAAACTTGAAAAACCAAAAACACTAAAACGGGGTAGACATCCATAACTCCAAAAGGGGCCAGTAATAGTGGGACTGATAACTCAAATATGCCATCTATGCCTGCAATTGTGTACATATATCAGCATCAGTAAGTAGAAGATAAGAGAAACTGAAGATACCCAAAATGCTACAATCTGCAACTTCAGGTTGTACTATAACTATCCGCATGAGCTTACCTTGTTTGCAATGTTGTTCGAGAGCCAGTCCAGTCCCTCGTACAGTCCTTCACCAGAAGTAGCGCATGTGCTTTGGATATACCTGCAAAATATATCATATAGTGGGTGACCCTCATATAGATCCACAAATAGAGAGGGTCAGATACACAGACACCGAGAGAGAATTGTTCTATCTTACCAGTGGCGCTGGCGGAGAGAATGAAGGCCAAGCTTGTCGGTAATCTCAGCAGCATTCATCGCATTTGGAAGATCTTGCTTGTTTGCAAATACTAGCAGTACAGCATCCCTCAATTCATCCTGCCAATCCACATAAAAGAGTACGTTAGATTTCAGCACGAAACCCAATCCATAGAACAACTTCAATAATTTCACAACCATGTTCATTAGAATCATTGCAACAGTAATAAGAAACTTTCCGCTCAAATACCTCATTCAACATCCTGTGCAACTCATCTCTAGCTTCAACCACACGATCACGATCATTGCTATCAACCACAAAAATAAGTCCTTGTGTGTTTTGGAAGTAATGTCTCCACAATGGTCGAATCTATGTAGAAGATTAAAGCAAATGAGCCAGTTTAATAATAGAGATAAACAAAAACCAACTGATCTAACCAGATCAAAGATATATTCAAAACATATGGTCCAATTTTGACCGCTAAGCATCCACCTATGCATACACCTAACGACATTTGGCATGTGTTCACTCCTTTCATGGAACTAAACATTATAGAATAAATGAAACCAGCACAATCCTATCCACAATCCTTCCTTTTCACAAGCAAGTGAAAAATAAAAACAAGAGCTAAGAATGCAAAACAAAACATATTAAAAGACATCCTAGATATTTCCTTTCATGCAATCTTTACAGTTAACAGAAACATGTTTGAATGAAAACTAAAACTACTTACCTTATCCTGACCACCAACATCCCAAACAGTAAAGCTGATGTTCTTGTATTCCACGGTCTCAACATTGAAACCTGCAAGATTATAATATATCATAATAAGCCATATATCCTATTCGATACAAAATTTATTTGAACGACAAATGTTAAACTTTATTAGGAAAAAAAGCGACTTACCAATGGTGGGAATGGTAGTGACAATCTCTCCCAACTTTAGCTTGTAAAGAATGGTGGTTTTACCAGCAGCATCAAGCCCAACCATCAGGATACGCATCTCCTTCTTGGCAAAAAGCCGGCTGAATAGCTTTGTG